TGGCGCGCGCCGCGATGGCAGCGGCCGAGCGGGGCTGATCGCGCCGCCCCTCCGCAGCCCCCGGTCCCCTCCGGCCCCAGCCATGGCGAAGCAGTACGATGTGCTGTTCCGGCTGCTGCTGATCGGGGACTCCGGGGTGGGCAAGACCTGCCTGCTGTGCCGCTTCACCGACAACGAGTTCCACTCCTCGCACATCTCCACCATCGGTAAGGGGCGGTGGCCTGAAGGGCGCCCCACGCTCCCCGCCCGCCAGCCACCACCTGCCCGGGCGACCCTTCCCTTCCCCAGCCCGGGAGGAATTGTCCGCCCCTCCGTCTGGAGGCGCTGGCGCGGAGGCCAGGGCGAGGGAACAGTTCCTGGGGTGAGGGGCCACCGGCTGGAGACTTGAGCTGGGTTCCTGGAGGTGAGGGTCCCCGCTGCTGCCGGTGTCTAGGGGTAGGCTCTCCGGCCTCGCGCTGGGGAGCCTCCCCATGGAAACCGAGAGGAATGCGGGAGGGCTGGTGTAGGCCTGGGTACCCCGAGCTGGGGCAGTGAGAATCATAGCCACTGAAATGACATCCTCACACCCCCAAGTGGAGAGGGGGAGGGGAAGCAAAGCTTGGGCTTAGGATGGGGAGTCCAGTCACTGAGTCACTGGGTGCCCTCAGTTCAGGGGTGAACCAAGGTGGAGTCAGGAGAGGGAGCAGAAGAGGACCGGAGGTGGCAGAGGATTGGAGTTCACCCAGTAGTTGTCAAGGTAAACCTCAAGGTAGGACACTTAGGGGAGGGTAGAGATAGGTGAGAGAAGCAGAGGGACCTGTGAAAGGGACCTTACTGGCCAGCTGCAAGTAAGCAGTCAGCCAAAGCCCTTGTTTTGAAGGAGATCCAGGAGGAAAAGGAACTTGAGGACTCCTTGTCCACACCATGGGGGCAGAAGGCAGGGAGGACCCCCTTAGACATCTAGAGGGTCAAGGCCTGCTGGCATGCTGGACAGGCCTGTGATGGGGTCACTCGATCTGGGAGAGGGTCCCCGGCCTTGCCTCTGGGAGGGCCTCTTCCTCTTGCACCCTGGGAGGTCTGAGTTGAGGGAATTGCCCTCATATCAAACAATTTTCCCCTTTGATGTCTGGAGTAGCCTCTGCGCTGCCCACATCCCCCTCCCATGGGGTAGGGCTGCTACACTCAGCTTCCTCTTGAGCCTTCCACCGGCCCTCCCAACATAGCCCTCCCAACATACGCTCCTTGGCAAGAGAGAAGGAGCAGGTAGAGCCAGCAGGAAGAGGGAGCATCTGGTTTCAGAGGCAGTCTTTGTTGTTACACGTGTTGACCTCACCTGGGGGGAGCTGTCCGTTGGGGGGCAGTGTGACCTTGAGTACTTGCTCCTCTGTAGAATGGGAATAAGAATGGTACCTACCTCCGGAGGTATTGTAAGGACTGCATGAAATGTTTGTGAAAGCACTTAGCACAAAGTCAGACACTTGGTGAAGCCAGAGAAATGCTGCTTCTTATTCTGTTAGCATCATCACTGAGTCTGTTTCTCTCTGTGCTTCACTGGCGTCAAGGGGCTTGGAGGGCCAGAGAACATGGCTTCATCTTGCTCAGGGGAGCCATAAGGCAGGCTTCTAGGAGAGCCAGGAGCTTGTGCTGGCCTGCTGTTTGGATAAGAGACATCTTGAGGAGAGCTTGGGACCCAATGGGAGGCTGGATGCAGTGGTGCAGGGAAGAGCCAGCATTGGGGCAAGGGCTGGGAGCCAGCAGGGGAGTCACTGAGTGGCCAGATGGGATAGGAGATCAAGTTGTGAGCTTGGGGGAAAGAGGAGCCAATTAGCCTTAAGGAAATTTACAGTGGTTGTTTTAGCCCTAGTGGCAGAAACTGCTTGAGCTATCTGCAGCGGGCTTTGGGCTGTCTAGGAGTGTAGGGGTTTGTACCCTGTGTCCTAGCCCTATTTCGAGTATTGGGGTCACCTGAGCTTTTCCCTTGAGAGCTTTCCTCATCTTCCTGATTTCAGAAGCTCCTGGACTCCTGTTCAGAACTGTGGGGAAGTTAGCCTTCTCTAGGAGACATTTGATCCCCTTCTCTGTAGACAAATGAGACTTCCATTTCTAAAATACCAAGATGGCCCTTCTGGGGCTTCTGCTTTCCTTAAGTCCCTGGCCCCACTGGACTCAGTCACTAGTCCTCATTAAGCTCATCCCTCCCGGTCTTCTCCCACCTTCGACACTTTCTCCTCGAAAAAATATGTGAATGTGCAGTTTTCAGGTAACAGACTGTGACTGGGGTAGACAGTAAGAACTGCCTGTCAGTGAAATGCAGGCTGTGCCTGGCACCCTCCTGCTCCACTCCCCTCAGGGCCTTGGTCCAGTGTCCACCAACCTGAAGATGAATCTCAAAGTTCTTTCTCTACTCCGCTACCTGGTCCACCTCTCCCCAGGACCCAGAGGACTGTTTAAAAGTTTGGATGCCTTGGTGGAGAAACAATGTCTTTAAAATCTAATGCCTTGGCTTTCTCAAATGGAGTTTTAGTTAAAGCTTCCTGGGGTATGTTTTCCAGCATTAACTGAGACTTGGGAGAGTTGGATAGTCAAGAAAAGCTCTCCTTTTTATGATGTAGTCCATTTCCCACAGAGATGGAAGGGGCATCCAGGAGTCAAATCAAGGAGCCAAGAACATAGGTCCTACCGAGTCACATTCGCTCCTTTATCCCGTCACAAGTGTGTGTGCCCTTAGCTGGACCTGTGCTGAGACCTGGTGCTTCTCTCATGCTGTGCCTTGTCTAAGACACAGTCTTTTGCCATACTAGTCATTGATTCGGGCACCTTTCCTGGCACTGCTTTTGTGAATGGGGAAAATGAGGCAATTTACCAGTTACTGCCAAAATACAATTCTTGGATCATGCTGATATCACTTAGCCTGGCACTTTTGTGATTCAATTGTTTATGCCATTTAGTATGAGAGCTTGTTACATTCCAGAGGTGGGCCTGCCAGGGAGCAGTGAGGAGACCTCCCAGGTAGGCTGACACACTGACCCCACTGAGTTTCTGTGGTTGGCAGGTGGGCAGGTGTTGAGCTGGATCTGTGCCCTGGACATTCCTTCTCTACTCAGCTGTGCAGACAGGAATGGGGGTGGTGGTGAGAGGTGGGCGGTCAGCGCCTGCAGAATCTCTGCTCTTTCCTGACTTGTTAACTAGCATTTGCGACAGAACACTGTGCCTGGCATTTTAGAAACGTATTGCACCTTTTCCTGCCCACAGACCCCTGTAATCTAGTTGGGGAGTCAAGACAGAGAGGCAAAGATGCACTCTGGCCACACCAAGATCGTACATAGTGCACTTGGGAGAGCACTGTGTGAATGTGGGGGAATCACATCGGGTTTGTTACTATTAACAAAGGCCTTAGAGTCCCGTTAAAAGCTAAGTTATGTGGGGTGCCTGGTGTGCTAGAAGCGGCAGGGAAGGCTTTGGGAGGCGGGGAGGCTGAAGTCAGGCCTTCCCGTGTGGGCTGCTTCTCAGTTCCTGCTGGGGAAGAAGCAGATGGATCCGCAGGAGCAGTCACCACCGAGGTGGGAATTCAGTGGGTGTTCATGGGACTCTGGGCAGTCTGACTGGAACAGAAGGGGGTTTAAAGGAAGAGTGAGAACACGCCTCTGTTTATCTTGGTCTCCCAAACTATGCTTTAGTGTCTTGACGGTGAGACTAAATCCATTCTTCTCTGTTTTCCTAGTACAGGGCCAGGCACAATCTCCATCTATTCCTAAAGTGAATGGATGGAGGTTGGCCCCAATTGGCAGAGGCTGCGAGGGCCTGGCTGAGGAGGTGGGACTTGAGCCTTCACAATGGTTTCCAAGCAGGGGAAAGACTAGTGATGGTGGCGCTCAGGATGTTGGTGGGGTGATGGGGTTAAGGCTGGAAGCAGGGAGACCAGTCAAGGGCTGTGGCAGAATCTGGGCACAAAGGAACCTCTCAGCTGCCCCTTCTCTTTCCTACCTCCCACCCCCTCCTGCTATACCAGTGCCGAATACCACATAGTTACCGATTCTCCTTCCCCTCCAAAACTGGGCAGTGCTTCAAACCCAATCAATGTGGTGACTTCTGAAAGGGCCTCCTGTGGCCTGGCTGCCTGTGCAGGCTGGGAGACCATGCCCTTCTCGCCATGTGTGTCTGTGTACAGGGTGCCTTTGCGTGTGACTGGCAGCCATGAAGGCTGCTCATGCAAACTGGGGGACTGCCCACTAGTTGGTCTTCTGCCTCCAGTCCTCGTCTTCTTAAGGAGATATGCCTCCTAGTCTCGGATCTCTGCTTTTTGTTTTTTTTGTTAAGAACTGGGGTACAAGCCAGAGGTGCAGGGGCAGTGAGATGATTCACCAGAGACAGAGTGGGGAGCAGAACAGGCAGATCGATAAAGTACACTGCTGAGGGGAGCAGCGGGCAGGCCAGGAGAGGTCTGCCACACTGGGACCTTTGCTTTAAAGGCCATTTTTTTCTGCTGCTCCCCTTCAGGTTTGGAGGAAGCTGCAGCATGTGACTATCCAGTTTGACTGGTTGAATTGCTGCTGGGCCCTTTCTCAAGCTGGGTTTGTTGCTGTGTATCACCTTTCTGAGGAAGTTCTGTTTGAACTGGCTTTGGCTGCCCGGGGCCAGGGTTTGTGGGTGTAGAAGGAGAGGACGTAAGGAGGGTAGGGCCAGGGCAGAGACTTGAGCCTGGACAAGCCCAGGGCCAGCCCTTTGCCTCCAAGGCCTTGCTTCCCAGACTGTAAGGCGCTGTGGCCCTTTGAGGGCTGAGCTGAGTCTGAGTGCCCCACTGTGTTGGGAGGCCTCTGCTCCCTTCCAGCCCACTGGCATCCTGAGGAGTCTCTTCCCATCCTGTGCCGGAGGTCCCAGGAAAGGAAGGGAGAACCCTGAGTAGAATGGAAAGCACAGCATGCATGAACCACCCCAAGGCCTCTCTGGCTCCTCCATCCTCAGACACTTAGTTGATATCCCTGTGTTTAGTTTCCGTATCTGTAAATGGAAGATAGTAACAGATTCTGTTTTAAAGGCCATTGTGAAGCATAGGGAGGCTAATGGGTGCGAAGCACTTGCAGAGGCCTCAATAAAATGGTTGCCACTATCGTCATCGTTATTATTCCCAGCTCTTCAGAAAGTTGTGGGGATTAATAAATTGTCAATAATGCGCCTTGAGGTCATCCTGCCCATCACTCATGCAGTCATTCGAGTGCTGTTTACTGAA